TCGTGCTTGTGATCGGACCGCTTGTGACAGATCGGTGTTCACGACACCCGTACACTGTAGTCTGTACAGCATTGCAGACTTCCAAAAAAAAATCTGCTCTGATGAAATTCAACTTGTACATCTCATATGGGAAACTATGGCCAAATAGCTACTGAATATTTAACTTCATTATTACATGGTTATTTCTACTTACATTATCATTATGGGGCTTACAAAAATCTCAGACACACAGATACAGAACAAAACAAAACAAAACAAAACAGAACACGAAAACAAAACAGCGCCCCCTATTTTCAGGCAAATCTTTACTTTTTTTGTGTTTTTTTGTCTTTTTTAAGACCGAACAAACGGTTTTCAACCGAGTATAGTTTAGAACCCGTCCCGTGTACTCATCGATCTCTTCTGTAAATTTGGCGCTATTTGGATCGAAACTGACGGAGCCTTTCATTAACATACATACATACAACATTCGCCAAATTATAGTAAGATTGAAATTAATCCTGTTCTAGTAACTCAACCTATTCTCCAAATGCTTCCATTTCAAGCAAACCCTAATTCTGGAGACCCCCTCTTGCAAGCATGGCCTGTTCCGGAAACCCCTCTTGCCAACATGTTCAGTTCCGGAGCATCATGCTTTCCAGCAAACCCTAGTTCCGGAGAGTTCGTACCGGAGCTCCCTAATTCCATCTCTCAAGTGGCACATACCTACCATATTTTGTAGGGAGTGCCCCCCCAGAGGTTCACTTACGAAAGAGGGAAGTGTAGGCACCTACGTATTCCGCAGAAAATATTCAGTTTAACCGATCGCGAGGTCATGTTCCCATTATCCGATTTAAATAACGTGCGTAGGGATTTGTTTTTCAATAATATATCGCATTTAAGCGATGTGCATGATTAAGCGAGGACCACTTTACTATTATATAGTTTAGCAGCGAAATACAACATCGACTACTGTTCAGCATCAACGAATGGTAATGCTCGCATGCCATATCGTCCTGCCATCTGCTGGCAACACACACAGATAAAAATGATGGAGTAACGCTAAAACACACATAAATACCCGATTTGATGTTCGCTAATATATTTTTGTGTAAACCTCGAGGTTCTACCCAAATTTCCAAACCGGAGAGTTGTTAATAATTATATATATATATATATATATATATATACATACACAAATATACATAAATATAAGAATATGTATATACAATATATAATAGAATATAATAGACGTTCGGCTGTTTCTGCTGAGCGAGAGTCCAAATTGGGGGAATAGTGCTAACAACCCCAAATTTCGTGATTCCATATTCACAGATAATTCACCTCGGACTGTGGCATGCAACCAACAGAGCCTGTGAGATATACGAGTTTAGGTAGGAAAATACGCCCCCCGTAACTCACTGTACACTTGCTTAGCGCAGCCTTAAGCCTTAAGCCTTAATCCTTAAACTTTAAGCATTAAGCCTAGCGCAGACTTTTTCATGGAACTCGGCAGTGATTCTGGAATCGCAGTCGAAATTGCTGTGAAATCGCTACGTCTGCGGGAACCTGCAACTGCAACTCGTAGCGATTCTGGTCGCTTGCAACGAGTTGCAAGAAATCAAACTGATTTGATTTTCAGCAACTCATCGCTCGCAATCGCTCCGAAATCGCTTTGAAATCGCATGTGTGCGGGTAGACAGCGACTTGCAACGATGAAAAATTCTCGTCCGACCAATCAGCGAGCACCATCACATCACGTGAAATATGTGTGTTATTATGTACATGTATGTCTCTATTCGTCGGAGCTGCAACACTGAAATAATCATGCCTTAAATATATAAAGGCCTGCGTATGAAGAGTTTTATGTAGAATATATAATTCATTATTTAGTTATGATTTATAATACTATATAATTATTTCTTATTCATCATATAATATCATATATATATATAAGGTACATATATATATAAGGTACGTATATACGTAAGGTAAGTATATATATATATAAGGTACATATATATATATAAGGTACAGACTAATATTTTGTCTCATTGGATCAATTTTCTACCACATGATGAATGTTTTTGGGTGAGTTATGGCAAATCGATTTTTTAATACTGGAATGGCCCTATATAATATGAGACTCCATCTAGTGTTAGTGGCATGTAAACTCCTAAAACATTGAACAAAACAAGTCATGGAAAGACAACGTACAGCAGTCGCTTGCATGCGCACACGCGGTAAGGCGTGCGACCGATCGCTTGCGGTTGCAGGTTACAGCCGACGAGCAACCAAAATCGCAGGTCTGCGCTAGGCTTTAAAGTGAATACGTCACCGTAAACAGTAAAAAAATAAAAATAAATATTTCCACTTTTTCACAAAATATAAGTAATTCTGTTCACTTTTTATGGTTAAATTGCTGCATTATACTTCTTATTTTACTATATTGTTCGATGTGAACATACACTCGTGACGCATACATAGCCCGGCATAGCAAGCAATTATTGTTAGGAACACTAATATCAAATCGTCCAGGTTTTTTGAAATTTTAACTAGCTGAGAAACAATCTTATCAGGTAAGAATTTGACGATACGTTTAGTCCCGTTAGTTCTTACTTTTAATGTAAAAAAATGGCAACAAACATTTTACACATTTTACCATAAAAAATTCGTGACGTAATCACTTTAAGTTCCGCGCGACAATGGTCATGATCACTTCGTCGGCAGCCTGCGTCGTGAACCGACACCCCGCAGTTTTACTCTCCCTCGTCAGTTAATTGTGCAGGCCGACAATAGTGGGTGTGGCTGGAAGAGGAATCTAGGTGTCGATGAACCACTGAAAAGTCCTGAAGTTTGCGATGGGGTTTTGCGTTACCGGCAGGCGGCAGGTCAGACAGGTAGCAAACAGGTAGGCGCCTGCCCCTGCACTGTGTATGCTTCCCAGGTAAACTTGTTCCCTCCTAGCGGGCTTCCCCTGAGACTCAAGCTAGCATGGAGAGACCACAAAACTCACGTGTTAGAGTCAACTGCATGGTGCAATGAATACTTTTTATTCTATTATACAGGCACAACGATCTTAATTAAACGTGTCAGTCACCTTACCTTATTATATACTGTATGTAAATAAGTGATAATACATATTTATGACGCTCAGCAATTTTATGCAGAAAACAGAATGATACTCCGTATCCATGATCATAGCACCTGCTGTCTATGCATTCATGCATGCATTCCATGCTGTGTATATATGCTCATCTACCTGTAGCATGTTAAAACAGCTCGTGGTGAGCACTATCGGCACTGTTCTCTGGGTAATGATAGAGATATATGTGTTTAATTTCCTGTCGACCAAGACTACAGCCTCTCAATGTCTACTAGTTGTTGTACTTGTCTACGATAATTACCAACTTATAGATATATATATATCGCATGTATATCAAGAAGATAGCCACAGATTATATATATTTCTAAATGCGCCAACCATTGAAATAATTAAGCCTTATCAATACGTTACAATAATCAATACAACACGGTAATTACATTATCTTGTACTAATTGCTATAAAAACACGATCCGGTAGCCGCCTAAATAGTTTTTAATAGTGAAATTATTTGTCCACCTAGCACCTTCTGTGTCCTCCAGCTGCATGCGTTGTGCACATCGACAACGTCACAGTTTCGCAAGCAGGAGTCCTTACAATATAAGTAACACATTGCACGACATGGTCGGTGATAAACATAGCAGGAGCTTGTAAGGAATTCTTCATGGTCGTGCGACTGGTAGCATATATATCATCCGAATATGATAAATAATATTTCTTATGACCGGTGATGGTGTATAACCGGGGTTTGTGGCGCGGGAGACTAGTATACAGGTACGTAGCTAGCGGGGGGGGGGCAACAAGCTAGGGTAGCTGCCCCCCACGAACAAAAAAGTAGAATCAATACATGGTGAAAGGCGGTCACCTTCCCAGAACACACCATGTACATGGCCTTGCCTTGATAAATATAATGTGTTTCCTGTAAACTTGACGATGTAGGCCTATAACCGGGGTTTGTGGCACACGAGACCAGTATATGGTATTGTGACCGCATGCGACCCGTTTGCATTGCCGTTATTGTTTGCATTGCGCGGTGTGTTGCGGCGGGTCGCTAATCCTTCCGCATAGCAATGCAGAGAGCACATCGCAACAACGCGGACACCGGAACACATTGAAGACACGCACACACACACGCAGATAAAATACATGCTCACGTGCGCACGGACACGCACGATAAGCATTAATAACATATCATATTAATTAATATATTAATGTTATATATTAATTTATAACATTATGCCCAGACAATGAGCACCAGCTGTGATAATCATAAGCTGTGAACACCACACCTCAGTGATATAAATGACTCGCAAGAATGACATCGCAGTTCCTCCTGACGTCACAGGTGTCTGCTTGCACTCGGCAGTTAGATGCGATATTGTATG